ATAAGATTTCAACATTTTTTTTGGGGTACCCTTGCTGATGGAAGCTATGATCTTGTTCGGTTCATCGACAAGGAAAAACTGCTCGTGTTGAATTTGGCACCTGCCCCGCAGTTTCAGATGGAAACTGGAGACGTCCTTTCTTCCAAAAGTCTGATGAACCCCTCTAGCCAAGACATTCACAGTCATGCATTCGATATGAAGCAATGGTTGCCAAAAAGGTCTTCAGCAGGATCATGGCTTGACAGCTAAGCAGCCTCACCTTTCACAGCTAAAGCTATCAGCCTCAGCAACACGTTTGCACAACGTGATCGTCTGAACATGAAGCAAACCAGCGTGGATCTTACAACATGCCCCACACGAATAGCATGCATGCTGCGTGAGATTGGAAATCTCCTTGTGTCAGTCCTTTGAGATTCCACGTTGGTACATAGACAGTGTGGCTTGTGGAGCGGAAGGAAGATTTCCTGATTGCATATTCCATAATTCTCGCTCAAGTGCCAAGGACGGTCCCGGAGCCTAAGCCGCAGAGGCCTGCGATCTTCTTGGATGAGGGGTCCCGCGAGGACGCGTGCTGGATTTCAAGAGAACATAAGGGTCTGATGTTTTGGACAGCTTAGGATCTCGGTTCGCTTTTCTCATCATAAGTGAAATTCGTAGCCCCTTCATTCATGTGCTTTGCAGGTGCAGGCGCTAAGGAGTTGCCGTAGGATACCCTCACACCAAACCCTGCCCATCAGGAACGTGAGATGAGCGTATCCACAGATCTGTGAAAGGTTTGCTTTGACATACTTCTGAACATTCATGCCTCAGTCACACAGGACCAAGAGGTCCACTCTGAATCGTTGGAATCCCTCAGCCTCTTGGCATTGAAAGGCTTCAGGGCATGTTCAACACAAGAGATTGAGGGTGCAATGTGAGCTTTTTGACACGTCTATGTGACATTCTCATAGCTGACTTCACTGATTCACATCCACCCAGTGGCCAGTCCTGCTTTCGCTTGTAGAGCCGCAGGCCCACTTCCCAGCCCCACCACCTATGGGGCCGTGCAGAGCTTGAGCGCCCTGCCCCGAATGATCACTTCCGACAGTGGAGTGGAGGAGGACCATTGGAATGAGTCGGGAATGATTACTTAGCATTATGATTAGGCATATCACGATTACTACTAGTACTGTTGTGCAAACAATGCTGACTACCATGACCCTTTTGAGCTTACTTAGCATATATTGCCATTGATGCTGCCATTGCTGTTGGACCTATATCTCTTCAGCAATGAGTGCTCTGACAATTATTGCCATTACCATTGCTCCCGGGGGAGTCAAAATATCACTTTTTGGAGTTTCCGGGCGTATCATAATGGGAACGCAAACGTGGGCATACCATTGACAACCTACATCAACCTACCCTCTCCGTGGCCTGTCAGCGGGTGCTCTGCTTTGAAAAACACATTCGAAAGGGACGTCACGCTCTGTAGGGTCACGAGCTCATCAGAGACATCGTAGTTTCACTAAATAGGGAGACCCAAACATAGACCCCCGAATGCTATAGTCCTCATTATAGGGACACCCGAAGAGGTATCCATGATTTTAGGAAAACCTCACATGAAGCCTTTGGAAGGCAGCTGGGGTTACCCAAAAAAGGATCCACTTCTGTACACTCAAGATAATTAAATCCCTACCTTAGCATATTTATGATTGTTGTTATTATCGGTATTATGAAAATTAGTATCAGTATTATTACTATAATTGCTCCCCAAAAGCGAGCCATTTTTGAACATCTCCATTTCAAGCCCTTGAACAGCAGCCAGGACACGCGGCATGGAGACTCCTCAAGGGTTTTGCAGCTCTTCCGCGTTTTGGATTTCTCCTTACCCTTAGAGAATCCTAATTAGGAAGCCCTTTACTCAAATTTGTAATCCCCATATTATCGAAAGGATCTCGGAAGGTCTCCCTAGATGCTGGGTTGATGTTTCTCCACACCAAGGCAGTCGGACCTCAATGGTATGACGGAAGAAGACGCTCGCCAGGTCCGGCAAAGGTCCCTCGGACTGGATTCCCCTTGGGCCCTAACATGTGCTTGGATCCCTGAAAAATCATGCCAGTTCACAGTCGGGGGACCCAATATAGACCCAACATACTAGAATCCCTATTATGGGGACTCCCAAAAAAGTACCCTAATTTTCGGAAACCCCCATATGTTCCCTCTTAGGTTTTTAAGGGCCTCAGCTGGTAAGTTTGTGCACGTTGTGACCAGTTTACCCAACAGCCCGAGTTTATCTTTTCTTTTACACACAGGCTGCGCCTTCGCTTGGGTGCAAATGCCTCTTGGGCGCACATCAGTTGTCAATAGAGAGAAAAAGGGGGATTTCAGCATTGGACAGATTTTGCTGTGCTTCTGGCTCAGTCTGTCTTTCTGGAGTTCATATAGCCCATTACAGCCCATTCTAAACCATTAGAACACATTATAGTAGTTTCCATTTATTTTCCATTATCCCAATATTTCCCCAACCCTGTACCCTAAACCCTAAACCCCATACCTATATAACCCCATTATAGTAGTTTCCATTATCCCAATATAACCCCAATATACTCCCAACAGACAGTTTCAATGGCCCGAGAAGTTCAGCCTGCCCCCAGGCAAAGCACAAGCTCGTCTCTGGAAAGGACATGCTGGGTGCTTGCTCCTCCCTTGGCCTCACTCGCCGCTGTGCAAAAACATGGACCCACATGTATTGATCAATATAAACCCAATGTTAGCCTATTACCCCAATATAAGCCCAATATAACCCTGACATAACCCTAATATTCTCAAAGTTCCGAGTTTGTGCGTTCTGGCAGATCAAGCAGCCACGTCATGCTGAGCGGGCCAAGGCTACACGGAGGAAGACATGGATGATTTGGTGAATGCCACTGGGTTGCTGTTAAGGAACTTCCCTTAAGTTACTATATTGGGGAAACCATATTAATCACTATATGTACCAATTATGGCTTATGGTAACTTAGCTTAAGTTCCTTAATCCCTATATCCCCCCAGTTTCCATTTCATTTTCCATTTTCTTTTCCATTTGATTCTCCGTTATAGGGGGATAATATAGTAACTTAATTTAAGTTCCTTAACAGCTACCCAGGCCATGGCATCTTTCGTCAACCTGCGTGTCGAGGAGGATCCGGAGGCTAGATGCCCTGCGAATTTCAGTCAAATAATAATAATAATACTAATAGTACTAATACTAATAATATTTAAAATGATAATAGTACTAATAATAGTAATGATAGTACTAATAGTTTTAATAATAATAATAGTACTACTACTAATAATAATAATGATAAGCTCAGGCTGTGTAGTGGGCAGCACATGGCAGCGCATTGCTCACTGGACATCCTTGCTTTCAGTGCTTCAGCAGTCATCATCTTTCTTTCATTGAGAATCCTCTGCAGGTATCACAGGCCATGCGCCAGTCTTCGCATTCGCGGAAGAGTAGCAGACAGACACTTGGCAAGCGGGTAGTGATGGCCTTGTTTGATTTTCGTACAGCAGAACTCTAAACCCTACATAGCAGTTTCTATTTTTCCAGTATCCCTACATAATCCCTATATAACCCCAATATAACCCCTAACCATGGTGCAGAGCGTCATCCAGGACCATGTTTGGCTTGCGCCCTACTGGCAGTGGGGACGGGCGTCGCCGCGCAATTGGCAACCAAGCGCCGGTGTGGGAGCTCGAGGGTTTTCCTTAGCATCCGGAAAATGTGGGCGATGCTCCTCCACATGGGGGTTTCCCACAACTAGGGTACCTTGTTGGGGATCCCCATCACAAGGATTCTAGTATTTTGGGGCTTACATTTGGGTCCCCTTAATTTGGGAAACTACCACATCTTGTGCATGAGAATTGTCAAAGCACCTGTTACGCAGCTTGGTCACGAAGCCTAGGCCTGCCGTGAGAGAAATCCTTTTTGAGGGATGGCTTCTTAACTCAGCCTGAGATGTACCACTCCGTTTCGCACCCTTGAGCACCCCTGTGCTCTTGCCTGTAATCCCAAATGAGGGTTGTTCTAAAGGTCCTTGTAAAGAAGGGGCCATTGGGAATACACTTCGTTAAAAGGGGGTCCTAACCAAACAGGGAACCTACATTATGGTCATTTGGGGGACAGGTATTTTGAAC